CACTATACAACAATATGGACCACTGTCACTCTGAATAGCATTCTCTATTGTCAAGGACACGTTTCCTTTTGAAATATGCCCCTTTAGCTGGTATCGGTTGCTCCTCTTATAGGAGACTTGATATCCATTGGTCCAGATAAGTGTTCTAGCACAATAAGCAGATTGACATTCACCAAGGCCCCAGCATGCGGTAGTGACTCCCCCATTTGTAGAGTAAGTACATGGCAGTGTGACAGGGTGACCCACCACACCTTCCACTACTTTGTAAGAACGGCGAGCATCTGTGATGGAAAAAAGAAGAGAGGGGGAAGAAATGGAGAATTAGTAACCAACATTTTCATAAATGTTGTTCATATTTCTTTTCAGAAAAATTACGGTAGGGGTTATTGTACTGGAATTTATTTTAGGGTATTATAAAACTGAGGCAAGTGCTGTACACTGAACTACAGCCCTAGTATTGTGAGACCAAAATGAGCCATCTTAGAAATAAGACCAAAATGCATTCAGCCTAAATCTAAGACCTAAGATTTCTCCTTTTAGGTACAGGACATGAGTTACTAGAATAGGCCATTAGTTACTGAAACCAGTCAGTCCAGATTCCAGAAATCAGGAAGTGTAAAGGTACAGAGTCACAAGGTAGTCATGAGTTAAAGACTGCTGGATTATGGAATGTCCTCTTCCTGGTTTCCAGGGTAACTGTCCACAGAAATGTCTCCACCTGAGGGCAGCCAATGAAAAATGGTTGTGGGTAACCACTCCCTTAGAAGTAAGATTAAGCCATGATTTCTAAAAAGCCCCTAGAATCAAGCGAATCAGAATTGTACCCATACTAGCACCCCTAAATGATGTACCCTTGTGGATTTTGCCTTTAAAAACTGAGGTTGCAAGAGGTGGGCACTTCCTCCAGCCTCCACTGTGTTGGATCTGTTGGATGAAGTCCCTGCCTAGGCTTGTATATCCTGAATTAAACCTTGCTTTTGCATTCTGACATGCTCATCTTTGGTGGTACCTCTGGGGCTTGCAATCTGGGCACAAAAGTGTGAGGCCCTAGACTTGACTTTACAGGCTCTACACTGGGGAAAGGGCCACCATCTCAGACCACCTGTTGTACTCAGTTCCATGAAGAACCTCAGGAATGTGCCTCTGAAGATAACTAGATTATCCTTCTGAGTAGTCCAGATAATCCTGTTCAGTGGGCTGTGGTTCCCCACCAAAAGTCTAACCCAATGGTTTCAAATGTGGTTTCAGGTCCAAGGTCTAGACCAATAGTTTCAAAAATTCTCCTTATGCCATATACCTTCTACCCAATCCCAAGTTGCCAATTCCTGGCTTGTGGTTTTTTTTCCTATAAAAACTCTCTACACGTGGGCTCATGGTTGCCCCCACATTTCCTTCCATCTGCCTGGTGGTGGCCCAGGTTGAACCTGAATAAAACCTTATGTGCTTACATCAGAAACCTGCTCCTTGGTGGTCTCTGGGGGTTTTGAGAAACAGGTGCAACACTAGCCTTCTTTATCATTGGAATTTGGTGTGATGGTGTGATGGTGTGTGTGTGTGCGTGTGTGTGTGTGTGTGTGTGTGTATGTTGTTTCGGGGGTTAGAGGGAATGACAACTTAATGTTTGTTGTTATCATTTGGTTTTCTGAGCCAGGATCTCACTTTGGAGCCTTGGCTGGCCTGGAACTTGCTGCATAAAACAGATTTCAAACTCCCAGAGCTTGGCTGCCTCTACCTCTCCAATTCCATGCTTAAATGTCCAGTTTTACTATCTGAATTTGAAGACAGTAAACAGTTTCATCTTAACATATTCTTCCTCAGTGGGATTACCTGATGGGTACATTTGTGAACAAAACAACTTGTCTGTTGTATGATATCCACAAGGCATTTCTTCTCTTTTATCTACTTCAGTGAGTGACTTACTTTAGAGACAGGGTCTTTTTATACCTCATCTGTCTCAAAATCAAGATCTCCCAACTCTGACTCCTGAGTTCTGGGATAGTAAACATGTGCCATTGAAGCCAGCTCAAATGTTTCATTTCTTTTTAATTTAAAACTTTTTATTTCAACAGCCAGGCTGTGGGTAATGCTTATGAACCCAGAACTCACTTGTATACCCAGAATTTGGGAGGTAGAGGGAGGAAGATGAGGAATTCAAGGCCAACTTCATTAATAAGTTGAAGACAGGCCTAGGATTTGAAGACCCTGTCTCAAACTATCCCTCCTCCTCCTCATTGCTACCACAACAAAATCACTAACTCTTCGGACCTTCCCTAATCAAAGAGCAGAGCCATGGCTTTGGAAAAGCATTGTTGGCTTCAAGGCAGAACCTTAGTAACTACAAAGTTAGTCTTCAGGAAGGTGAGACTGAGGCTGAATTTTATGATTGACCCTTAACACAAACACAGACATATACATGCATAAACATACACATACACACACACACACACACACACACACACACACAAACTAAGCAGAGGTCCCTTTTTAAAAGTTGGTGACATTCCAGAACTTGAGCAAGACCTACTAACTAGTACAGTAAGATCACATAGAAAATATTCAACCAATAATGTAATAATGAAATTTAAACACGGAAATGATTAAATATAATTCTTTTGGGGATGATGGAATTCAATTTCTAATACCAATATCTTCCACAGTGGCCTTTAAAGGAACTCTGAGGGCTAAGGATGCAGCTCAATGATACAGTGCTTGGCT